CAGTAAGACCCTCCGGGTCCCCTCTGCCCGACCCCACACCCTGAAACCCCGAAACGAGAGAAACAAACGCGGACCACCCGGAAGCCGCATGATTCGGCCGGATCCCAGCAACAGCCCCGCCATGAACTTAAGACACCACGCCTCCTTGGCCCGCCCCTCGACTTCCGGCGCCGTCTTCACTTCCTCCGGAAGTTGCAAAAGGCCGCTCTCTCCGCTCGGCTCGATGGTGACGGTGTCGCCTAGCGGCTGTTTGGCGACCCTTCGCTTCGGTCTGGCGCGCGGTAGGTGGCTGCTCGCGGTTGGAGGCGGGTCGGCGCGGGCTGGGCAGAGGTGGGCAGCGGGCCCGGGAGGAGGGGGCTGCCTAGGGCCCCGGCTTCGCGGCTGGGCCTAGGCCCGACGGCCCTGAGCGCCGGGAGCCCCTGGCTCCGCCGGGCACTGCTGGGCACCGCCAGCCTCGGAAAGAGGAAAACACGGTCCGCGGACACGCCAGACCCGGCAGCCCCCGCCCCTCCACCCTGGGCGCCCGCCTCCTGGCCTAGGTGGGAGCCCGCCGACGGGACTGCGAGGCTGTCCACCCCTGTGCACCTCCGAGCCGACCCTTTGCACTTGAACTAATTTGACTTTTATTTTTTAATTGCTAATAAGGGTAATTGGAGTGGGTAGGGTAGCAAGGGCGAGTCAGACACGCTGCAGTGCCTGGCGCTCCCAGTTACTCCCCGGTGGGAATGTAACCTAATAGTAAGTGACTGCCCAGGACGAAGTCGTATGTGCTGCGTCATATCCCATCCTCAGCGTTCTCCTTGGGCCCCCGTTTTTTAACCTGCCCTCGCTGACTCCCCGGCCGCCTTCCGTCCCGTGGTTTGAAGTTTGTCGAGTTCCTCGTCTGGGATGCTTTGCGGGGGGAGGGCACAGCCCCATTAATGAGGCTAAGAGCAGACCGAAGTTTGTTCCTCATTCCTTCTGAAAGTTTAACTCGCATGCATTTCGTCTGCCTTTGTATGTCTCCGTCTCTGATCTTAACCCCTCCCCACTTCCGTGGTGGATTTGCAAACTACTGAAAAAGGAGAAAAATCGCGTTCTAATTCTATTCTCTAACTTGAGATCCCGCCGCTGCGTGGCTTGTTCCGGGTGGGCTCCCCCTGCGCGGCGGCGGCCCGCGCCCGGGGCCCGGAGCCGGAGCGCGGTGTTTGCCGTGTGAGCATTGCCTGGCCGGCTCCCCTGGAACCGTCAAGTTGGAGTCTAGCATCACCCGTGTTTTCTGAGTGCAAAGTTGAACTGGAATGTCTGCTCAAAGCAAATGTTTGCTCAGCACTTCAAATCGTTTTTAATCAAACTAAATTTTCTATCTTGGAGTTGCCTGTGGGTAGTGAGATATTTTTTTACCCGCGTATTTCAGCGTATTTGTTTGCCCAGGGAGAATTTTTTTCTCAGATTCTCAAAAAGCCCCAAAAGCACCTTGTTTGTTCAAGCAGTGAGCATGGGAAATTATTGCTGGTCCTTTTCCATTGTAGGTTAATTGATCAGACGCATCATATAAACTAAAATTGAATTCAGAGGTGGTTTTAGCTGGTCTGTTAAATTTTGTTTACCAGGGTGACTTTTAATAGCTTTACCTTTATTTGTTTACCAGAGCATTTTTATACAATCTCTTCATATTAAGTTTACAATGTTAAGTAAAATACTAGCTTCTTAAACAGGTTCTGACTCAAAGTAGGTGTTCTGTAACTATGCATTGGATGAGTTGCTAGTAACACCTCTGAGCTTGATTTCATGGACCTATGAAACTTGAGTGTTAAAAGATATCTAAAATATTGTCTAGTGTAAACATATCACTTACTACTATCAAACCACCAAGATCCCCGAATGAGGTTTTTAATTTTCTTTCTATTTAGATACCTTTCTTGGAAGAGATAGGACACAGATAATATCATGTGACAAGGCTGATCAAATTTTGTGCTTGCTTTAGGCTGTTTTGACTAGGACAGGTAGGCCTAACTTTCAGAACACCTTCCTGCACTGGAACTCTTTTGCTTCATCTCCGGTGCAGACATCCGCGCCATGTGCTTAGCCACAAAAATGTCCTGCCTCGACTTTGCTGTTACTACAGCATTTAGCACAGTTAAGTTTCAAGGCCACCTTCCCCCCTGCCTTCCTCTTTCCACAGCCACCTATCCCATGTACTCTGCATATGAAAACTATGCTTACCCCACACTTCTTACCATGCTTCCAGCTTAGGCTTTCAGCATGTCTCTACTGCAGTAGTTCCCCTTAAAGTCTCTCCTTACTAATTTCTGGGTTTGTCACCCCCGCCCCTTTCTTTATCTTTGACAATAGTATAAAGGAAATACTCTTTTCAATGTAGGGCTGTCTTCACGAGTTCCTAGATGCTTAAGGAACTTCCGCCTTCTGCCAGTCCTAATTATTACAGAAGTCTTATTAGTATCATCTTAGAGCAAATTTTCAGCAATTAACCATCTCTAGGTATTTCTTCCTATTCTTAAAAATCATTGATGCCTAAGGCAATTTTCATAAAACACTGGCTACTTCTCCTGCACCATGACTTGTAGGAATTTTTGGAGAAAAACTTGAAAAGTTTTCTACATTATTCCATTCTATAAAATGTTTCAGGTATTTTGAGGTTCACCAGGCAGACATCTTTTCAGAGATGTAATTAAAAAATAATATTCTTAACATATAGTGCTTTATGACTTACAAAGTAAATTACTGTGTATTGTAACTCAGTTGAATCTCACATCAACTGATGAGGATTATTTTGCTTTAGATAACAGCATATAGTGCCGGCAAAACTTTCAGAACAAAACTTGGTATTTCCCTTTCTTTCCAAAAGCAAATTATTTCCTTAGTTATTCTAAGTTGTTCTAATTCCTCCAGACTTTATTTTCTCTGAACTTTTGAATACTTTTTAAAAACTTTATATTGTAGTCATTTAAAAACACATAAAAGTAGAGAGAATAAACCTCATGTACCCAGTGCTAACTTCAACAATTACCATTCTCTGCTCACCCACTTTTTTTGTATTAGGTGAAGCAGGGGGGTATTTTGAAAAAGTTCCATGGCATTAGAATCTTACTAATTCTAAATTAATAAGAGGTGTCTTTGAGCTCTCTGTCCACTGGGACCAATATTTCTAAGATCCCTGGCATCTCCCTGAGCCATAAAATAAAAGACTTGGAACTAGTCAGGAGAATCAGTTCCCTGTTCACTTGGTTTGTTTTTCCCTGCCTTACTCACTTGTGATCCTCACTAATTTTCCTTGAATGTGGCTGTGTCCTTCCCTCTTGCCTTGTCTCCTTCCCTAAAGAAATCACAATATGAATTTAAGTTTCTGGTTTTTTTAAAAATAATTTCTTTTTATAATAAAATTGCATGTTTCCTATTTAATTTTTTTTATTTTTTTATCCTCACCTGAAGATATATTTATTGATTTGCGAGGGAGAGGGAGAAACATCAATCGGCTGTTCCCTGTACGCTCCTTGACCGGGGATCTAACCCGAAACCTAGGTATGTGCCCAGATCGGGAACGGAACCTGGAACTTTTTGCTGCACAGGACGATGCTCCAACCAGCTGAGCCAGTCGGCCAGGGCCAAAATCTTAATTTTAAAAGCCATATATATTCAGCATTTTGGGTCTCTTTTCTACTCCAGAACACATTGCTGCTTTGAAGTGTGTGGTCCTTGCTGGTACTTGCTGTGTTGCTTAACTTTCTTTAAAAAGTTGGCAAATATTAGTATATCCATGAATTTCCCTAACCTGAGCTGTGTTCCAGTGGAAAGTGTGTCTGATTGGAATCACACGGTAGAAAATTTAAAGCCAATTCAATTAGTCTTTAAGCTCAAAGGAGATTGTATTGGCTGCTACAACTAAATGACCAAGATTAGTTCTCGCAGGGACGGGTGGATCCAGGTATTCAGCTAATGTTCCTAGGACTCTATTTCTTTTCATCAGTCAGATTTCTTCTCAGTTAATTTTCCCCCAGCAATTTCAGTCTTAGTTAATCAGTTTAGCAGAAGTATTTCTAATACTTTTGCTAGTAGTTCCAGCAAAAGTCCCAGGGCTGACCCTTGGGACTGACCAGAGGAAAATTGGGCTTTTATAGGCCATGCCTGGGTCACATGTCTGCACCTCAAACAGCATAAAGTGAGAGAGAGGAACTGGGTAGATACCTAGAGAGACACTGGGGTGCTGTTACCAGAACAGGGAATGGATGCTCTCTTCTTGAGAGAAGATCAAATTAATTGGGACTAAATGCTCTCTAGGAATTCCACAGTATGCATTATTACCTTAAAGCAGGGGGGGGAACCTTTTTTCTGCCAAGGGCCATTTGGATATAACATCATATGTGGGCCATACAAAATTATCAACTTAAAAATTAGCCTGCTGTATTTGGTCAAACATTTAATTAAGTCTCCCCTAATGTGGTGGCTGGAACTGCTTCTCTTTGGTGAGGCCTTGGCAGGGCCAGACCAAATGATCTTGCCCACGGGCCGGACGTTCCCCACCCCTGCCTTAAAGGCTCTTAAGTTTCAAGTTAAAACTAAACAAGCTCATTTGACAGGGGATAAAAGTACTCCCAGAAACATTTTTCTCTTAAGCTTTGGTAATTAATATTCCACTGATGTCCTTGCTGTATTACCTTCTGGTTTGATTCTCCTATTAATCTGTACTTGGAATCACAAATATTTGAAATCGAATGGAGATTTTTCAGCTACCTTAGGTGAGTTTTGTATTTATTGTAATTGTATGAGTTCTTTGCCTTCCAAGTCCGATTATGTCATCTATGCCACCCCTCGCACATACAGACTTACCTGGTGTCTAGTGGGGGTTTCAGGTGGGGACTGCAGGAAAAGTGAGCAAATGGAAAAACTCCCAAGCCCAGTATAAGAACACTAGGCCATGCTTTAGGATCTCTTTTTCTGGTGCTGTTTTAGGGATAATTATATCCAACCAGATAAAGGAAGAAAGGAAAGTAGCTGAAGCTCATAATTGGGTGGATCAAATAGAAAATATGTTTTAGGGTCATCAGCTGTAGAATGAAAAGAAGCCCCTAATTCTCAAATGAGTCAGATTGAAGTCTGGCCTTTACTGCCAGTTGTGGAGTTGTCACCACCTTTGATCGGAACACTGACAATCAGAATTTCATATACCAGTTTTGGTTGTAAGGAAGGGGAGTTAACAGTCAGCTTTTAAAAAGCTGGTTGAAATTAATATCCCAACTATTGAAGAACCAGGGCCCACTATTCTCAAAATGAAAATAGTCACATCAGTGTTATAGTTTTTGTGCCAGATTTTTTTTTTTTTTTAAATATCTTTATTGATTTCAGAGAGAGGAAGGGAGAGGGAGAGAGAGAGATAGAAACATCAATGATGAGAGAGTCATTGATCGGCTGCCTCCTGCACGCCCCCGACTGGGGATCAAGCCCACAACCCGGGCATGTGCCCTGCCGGGGAATCGAACCCTGATCGCCTGGATCCTAGGTTGATGCTCAGCCGCTGAGCCACGCCCGGCCAGGCTTTGCCAGATTTTTTTGTTTAAAATTATTCCTCTCATATCTTCACCCTGTTACTCCAGATATAAAATATGTGAAACGTATTTCTAGTGACGTGCCACCAACAAAAGACAAAAGATCCAGCCTGACACAAAATAACCCATAGCAGGAATCTAATGTGTAAAGAACAATGAATGAGTATAATGTATGACTTTTAAAAAAAACAAAAAAAATCTGAAATTTTGATAGAATTATTGCTGTTTGTGAAAGAAGGTGCCTCTGTGTATGTGTGTGAAAGCTAGCATATATTTCTTAAAAATTACAAATTATTCCCGATTCAAATTTGACTTTACTAGAATTAGCATGCCTATTCATTAATAGGATATTACTCTTGTAAATTACTCTTCTAAAGAATATAGGTTATTGTTATCTATTTTACAGATAACAAATTGAAGCATTTCAGGGACTTGGTAACTTGGACCTAAGACTCTAAAGCCCATGCACTTTCCTGTATACCAAGCTACTTAGTGGATTAACTGTAAAATTTAATATCCTTTTTACCATTTAGAAAATGAAGATGTTTATAACTTACTTATCTTTTTTACTTTATTCAGAAACCTGCTCGGAGGTTATGGATGATAAGCCCAGTCCTGGAACTGTGAGTGAGGGCTCAGAACATCTCTTCTCCTTTGGAGTTATAGCAGATATTCAATATGCTAATTTAGAAGATGGCTATAATTACCAAGGAAACAGAAGAAGGTACTACAGACATAGTCTTCTTCACTTACGGGGTGCTATTGAACACTGGAATAAAGAAAGTCATCCACCCTGTTGTGTACTCCAGCTTGGAGATATCATCGATGGCTATAACGCGCAATATAAAGCATCTGAAAAGTCACTAGAACTTGTTATGAACGTGTTTCAAATGCTTAAAGTTCCAGTTCATCACACATGGGGAAATCATGAATTCTATAACTTCAGCAGGGACTATTTAACAAACTCTAAACTGAACACAAAGTTTCTAGAAGACCAGATTGAACAGCATCCCGAGACTGTGCCCACAGGGAGTTTTTATGCTTATCATTTTGTACCGTTCCCCAAATTCCGCTTCATTTTACTCGATTCTTATGACTTGAGTGTCTTGGGCGTGGATCAGACTTCTCCAAAATACCAGCAGTGTCTGAAGATGCTGAAGGAGCACAATCCAAATAGGGAATTGAATAGTCCTCAAGGTGAATTATTCCTTTGAGCTGAGAATCTAATACATTGTCTTTAAATTCTTCAGCTACCTTTTATTCAGCAGGAAGATGGATGATTAAGGTAAAAGTATATTGTCGCTGTTGTTCAGGGTCAGGATTTCTCACAAGCCTCGTGGCGCATGGAGTGGTTGCTGTTGGCTCAAGATTTATTTAACAGCTATCTGAATGCCTGTTGGACTGAGCACTTTTTCTGGAATTTAGCTATTTAGGACCGTAAGCACTACTGACAATATCACTTTTTTAATGAGTAGAGTGAAGAGAACAAGAAAAGTAGGTGGGCAGGATTGGTAGTAAATGAAATAGTAACAAGATTATTTCCACAATGACATATACTACCAAGAAAATAAAGTAGGACTAAGGGGGCTATTTTAGTTTAGGTAGTTATAGATAGCCTTTCCAAGGAGAAAACCATTTAAGCAGAAACCTAAATGACAGGAGGGAGTCGACCTTGGGAAGAGTATTTGTGACAGAGGGAAAAGCTAATGCAAAGGCACTGAGCACAATAAGACTTTGGCATTGAATGCAGGGAAGGGCCACTGTGCAGGATGATTTTGCAGGAGCTAAGTGGACACAGTTGAGTCTGTAATTTATTTTCAGTGTAGCAGGAAGCTAGTGAACTCAGCAGAAGAGTGTCAAGACTGAGAGCAAGGTAGTGTGATTTGTATATTCTAAATTCTTGTGGTTTCCTTTTTTAAGTCAACTGCTGCCAAATGTTTCTGAAGAAAAGTATAACCTTATCCATATTAGATAAGTTTGAATGCACTAATGAGAAGAAAATATTTGATGGATCTGACTTACAGAATTCATTTTAGGACTTCCTGAGCCTCAGTTTGTCCAGTTTAATGGAGGATTCAGCCAAGAACAACTGAATTGGTTGAATGAAGTCCTTACATTCGCTGACACAAACCAAGAAAAGGTGGTGATCGTGAGTAAGTATTTAAATGATTTGTTTATACTAGCATTTTAGAGAATAGGAAAAGTTATATTTTAAAGAATACTAGTAACATTTATATTGTGATATCCTCTTTCTATAAAATGAATGCTTAGTTTAAATTTTTTCATTGAATCTATATATGAGATGAACATTTAAGGTTGAGTCAGGGAAGAATTGAATTATAAAATAAAAACATTTTGCCAAACACTAGAGCCTGTGCATTGACCTTTTAGATTTCATGGTAGAATTTCTCCATATGGGATCAATTTATGTAGTAATATTTAAGTGAAAAATTCATTCTGGGCCCCATACCAAATCTCAGCTGTAGTGGCCACGAAACAGAGGCTCCTGCTGCCTGGATGGGGGCAAAGCCGATATAACAGGGACAAGTGAGAGACACCTGGCAGTGAGCACGTACATGATGATTATTTTTATTTAGAATCATGTTTGACAGACATACTGCTATCAGAGACTATAGGAATCTGGGATGCTTATAGTGCACGCAGATGTGACTGTGTGCACGTGTGTATACACAACTGAATTTGGATTTGCACTGTGCCTCGTGTACTTGGTTTGGGGGCTGAAATTAGATCCCTTGTTTTGGGGATCTAATTGATGTGGCATATGGATGAGAACACTGGACTAAGGGTCACAAGGACAGGATGCCTTTCTGGCTCATATCTCTGAGCTCTGTGACTGGGCATATGTCCAACCTACAAACTGCAGTTTTCTCAATATTGGATCAAATGAAATTGCGAACGTGAAAACTCTTGGAAAATGATTGGCTGTTCAGAGAGTTAATGTAAAATTAAGTTTCTATCTACATATGTAGTTTTCACTTATCTTCCACTGACATAGTAAAAACATGTAGATGGAGTTAGGAGTGTTTCTACTGACATCAGTATATGAAGTGTCATTCAAGGCTTGGAAAATGTAAGGGACCTTCAGGTTATTGGCATGATGTGACCCTATTTTGGCTTTGCAATGAGGGGCCTCAAAAACTGGGATATTTCTTGACTTGTCTCTGGTTTTTAGTGTTTCACTGCGAGGTTGTACTTGTTATTTTAGAGAATACTGGAGCTAAAAGGGACCTAGAGATCACATAGTAAAACCTTTTAATTTGAAAGATAAGGAAACTGAACCAAAAGAGATTCAACTACATAGCCAAAATCATAAAGCTACTTGCAGAACTGAGACGAGAGAGCCCATGTTTTGTATCCCAGCCCCTTTCCCATGCTATCCTGTATTCTATTTATTTTTATGTCAGTGCACTTACCTACATTATCAGTGTCTTAAGTTTCTCCTGTTTTCCTGTATGTTTATAAACTAGATGAACAAACCTTTAACAACTCAGTGCCTCAGACAAAGTTTAAAATGACTATTGAAAATTTTCTGATTTTGCTTTTTCACTTTCCTTTTGGCTACTCAGATGTCATTTTGCCAAATTCTCAAGTTATGGCCATGAAGTTGGAAGGATAGGATTGCTGTTAGCTGAGATATGGAACACTGAAGCAGGAGGGGATTTTGGGTTGAGAGTTCAGGAGTTCAAGGTTGAAAATAATAACTTCAGATGCCTGTTACACATCAGCAGAGATGCTGAGTAAGCAGTTTGGACATAATGAATCTGAAATTCAGAGTAGAAGTTTAGGCTAGATGTATGAATGTAGAAGCTGAAAGAATACAGATGATATTTAAAACTATGTACGTTACTAAGAGATCACCAAGTCTTTAGGTGTAGACAGAAGTGAATCCCAAGAACCAAGCATTCTTATTCTGATAAGATACTGGGGAAATGAGGAACCAGCAAAGGAGAGAGAATTAGTAGCTGAGAGAATTAGTACAGTGCTGGAAGCCAAGTGTTTCAAGAAGGGAGCAACTAATTGTGTCCAGTGCTACAGGGATTTATTTAATAGGTGAATCCAGTGTGGCATTTGGGTCTGGAAAGTCACATAGCCTCTTTGGACCCTTAGCCCTTATTGCAGCTTGAAGAGGGCTGAGTGTGTGCGTGCAGGTGTGCACTATTAGCCCCCTTCTTTTTTTACTTATAGTACACACTAGTATTAAGCAGAATAAAAGTATTCAGAGTAAAAATAAACAGTAACAGAGAAAAGTGATTTCATGGGAAGAAACAAAGATCAGTGAGCTATTGTACCTGTACTCCAGAGTGAAAGGGTGGCCTGATACAGGATGTGGCCTCATGTATGTCTTGCAGCATCGAATTTGAAAATCTCCTGGCTCTACTTCCACAAATCTCCCGTGGGACCTAGTGTGAATATTCCCCACTGTCACCCCACCCTGTTTTCTTATCTGTAAAATGGCTGTGGCTATCTCGTTCTGGAGGGTCTAAAGGGGCATAAATCAGTCCTTTATAAAACACTGAGTATTTATAAAACTGACATGTAATTCAATGGTCCATCCCTAAACTCTTTTATCTATGAGTGCCTGTGTGCGTGTGTGTGTAAAACACTCCTGTACGTAGGAAAGTCAGGGAGGCTGGACTCCAGCGCAGCGCTGGCCTGAGCAGGATGCCTCGGTCTCCCTTGATGTGTGTACATCCTGGGACTCACAAGGCTTCTCTCTCTACTGTGGCCCCTGCCCTTGTATGTGAACTGTCTCACCTTCCTTTACGCTCCAGAGACGTGGCTGTAGATGACCTGTTCTTCATGTGTGTGAAGCCTCACTGGTCTGAGTCCATAACAAGGGAACAATACACAGTTTTCCTGAGTACTAGTTTTTAGCCATTTATTTCGGTGAAAGTGGTATATCCTAATTGGCTCATAACTCTCTTCTCTTTAACAGGTCATCTTCCCATTTACCCAGAGGCCTCTGACACTGTATGCCTGGCCTGGAATTACCAAGATGCGCTCACGGTCATTTGGTCTCATACATGTGTGGTGTGTTTCTTCGCCGGTCACACTCATGATGGTGGCTACTCTGAGGATATTTTTGGTGTGCACCATGTCAACTTGGAAGGGGTTATTGAAACAGCTCCGGACAGCCAGGCTTTTGGCACAGTTTATGTCTATCCTGACAAAATGGTTTTGAAAGGGAGAGGCCGAGTTACAGACAGAATTATGAATTACAGAAGGAAAAACCTTTTCCATTTTTAGTCTGATTTATTTTGTCTTTATAGAACGAGGATGACTTAGGTTTATGCTTTTGCTCCCCTACCCCACCCCTAAATCCTCAGTCTCATTGTTTAGTATTCTGTTGGCATAACAATGTATTTATGTCTTCAGTGTGTGTTGGCTCATCAGACATTCTGAAGTGTCATTTCTGGGTCATATATCCAGTGCTGAAAATTGGAAAGAAAATGAATGAAAGTGGCATGAAAGAACCAGGGAGGAGATGAAGGGGGGAGGAGGGGTAGTCTTCAAAACAGACTTTATTTTAGCCTTACCTGAGACATAATTTTAACTTTTTACAAGGAGAATATGCTTATTTATTAGCTATGTACCTTAAAATTCATAATAAAAAAGTAAGCTCAGGTAAAGCTTTTCCTTTTAACCCTCCCATGCAAATGAGCTTTGGACATTTTTTTTTCTTTCTCAGAATATCCGTCATATTGTACTTTCATAGGCTTGTGTTCCTATTTTGTAGACCAAAACTATCATGTTACTTCCCAGGTAAATGAATGGTGCTCGCATTCACTAGGTGAATGTGTACCCTCCCGAGTGAGGCTATCAGAAGGGCCTTCAGAGAAGTTATGTGGTCCCTCGTGATTCCACCTAAGGCAAAACCAAGGGCCATTGTAGCTGTGTGCCTGCTTAACGGGGTCTTTTTGGGCCACCAGCTAGTGCTGTATGAGGATAGAGGCTAAATGAATTCACCTTTGACTCCTTTTGTAAATAAATGGGACATATTCAACTCAGTTGTCATATGTGCTAAGGCTTATTTGCAGAAACCTTTACTAGATGGCAAATGGGTACTGTAAGTGAAGAGAAAGTTTGACTCAGGGCTTAAAAACAGTAAGACATAAACCAATACTGGTCAACATGAGTGTGCCTGCTGAGTACCTAGGCATGGGGGTTACAGGTGTATTAGTTTTTTATGGCTACTGTGACAAATTACCACAAACTTGGTGTCTTAAATAACACATGTGTTCTCTTACAGTTCTGGAGTCAGAAGTCTGAAATTATTTTCACTGGGCTGAGATCGAGATGGTGTTAGGGCGATGCTCCATTTTGCTATATAAGGTAACATTCATAGTTCCTGGAGATTAGGGCCGGGATGTCTTTGAGGGCCATTATTCACCCTACCTCCGAGGTGACTGTAAGGTACTCCCTGCGCTCACCAACTTTTTGATGGTGAGACAGCTCCCTAAATATAAGGGTGTGAAGGAAGGACTGTGGGAATGTGGAGTAGGAATTTGCTTTTGTTTGAGGGGTTAGGGATGACTTCAAGAAGAAAGACACGGTTTAAATGGGTGCGGAAGTGCATGTCACATAGATGGAAGAGCATAAGCAGAGGCATTGAAGGATATGCTGAGTTTGGGAGATGCCAGTAGTGCCATGAGCAGTCACCAGAAGTTGCTGGGGTAGGGCAAGAAAGAAAGCAGGAAAAGGTTAGGCGAGGGCTATGTGGGAAGAGCCTTGAATGGCCAGCAGAGTTCGAGTTTAACTTGCCATGCAGTGTGAGGAGCCCTCAGACTCCAGAGCTGGGCAATATATGATTAGGTTTGTGTTTGAGTCCAGGCAGTAGATAATGAGAGGCTGGTGTACAAGAGTGATAATGGGAAGAAAAAAGATTGGGGCGAGAAGACAGGTTTTGATAATAGAAAATTAAACTTACTAATAATACTTCAATTGAGAAGTAGAGCTTAAAAGTAATTTCAGTAATGCTCTTTTTTAAAGGCGGTACTCTACCAAAAGTTCCTTTTATATACTTATGGAGATTTAAAAGGAACTATATATTCACAGAATTCACAGTGTGTTATGGGAGATGCAGATATGATGAAAGTGTACTTGAACATTACTTCTTTTTTTCCAGTTGGAACGTTACTGTCTTTTAAGCACAGAATCAAACATGACATGGAGGATGGGTTGGTTCTATATAGAATTTGCAAATACGTCCATTTCTTAAGTTATCCTAAAAGGTATAAAAGCCATAAATATACAGAATAAATACACACTGGAATACTGAAACCCTTAAAATGAATTTCACTTTGCTTTAATAGCAACTAGCTTCCCCCTCTCCTTTTACCTTATCTAAATCTTGATCAAGAATTTCTGACTGTCCAGTGGCCATTGTGTAAAATAAAACACATGCATACCTCCTATAACAAACATTTACATAAGACTTAATATTGTATTAAAGGATATAAAAATAGAGACAAACTACCAGGCTCATTTTCACTCTCCTGACATACAATTGGTGCTAATACTTTTTGAGTGAAATGTTTCCTAAGTCTCATGAACCAGTGTCTTGACTACGGAGTTTAATGCTAGCCTGTGTGAAAAGATTGCCATCCAGATGCTCCAAAACAGCACTGACCAACAGAAATGTAACATGAGCCACATAAGTAATTTAAAATATTTTAGCAGTCACATTTAAAACAGTAAATAGAAACACATAAAATGAACTTTAATATATTTTATTTACCCCAATATATCTAAAATATTACAACATGTAATTGATATAAAAATTTTACATTTTTTATACATCTTTAAAATCTGGTATATATATTTTGTACTTAAATCCATCCATTTGGACACTGACTTCATTGGAAATACTTGATCTACACTTAGATATAAAATTTGCAGTTTAAGAAGTAGATTCACATACCCAGGTTATTCCAAACACACTTAAAACTAGTGTCCTAAACATAAGTTTTCTAGTAGCTGAATTGATATGTTTTTAAATTAAAATGGAAAAAAAAACCCCACTTCCTCAGTCTAGACACATTTCAAGTGCTCAATGCAACACGTGGCTAGTGGCTATGGTGTTGGAGAGGATAGTTCTAAACTGGTCTCACTCCAGGGTTTTGACATTCTTTTTTTTTTAAATGTGTATAAATTTTGGTCTTCTTTTACATTTACAGTGTAATTAATGTTCCCTGTTTCCTTTTTGGTTCCAAATTCCTTTATTCTAACTATCCTTTCTTTCCAGACATGTTTGCTCATTTAGTTCATGGCACTGTACCAATTAAATGGAAGGAAATTAGAACATCTACTTCTATCAAATTAACCAAACCCTTCTTCCCTCTAATCATGTGTAGCCCTTTGTAAGCACTTTATATTTCCAGAGTGCTCTCATATAATCTAGTTTAATCCTCCCAACTGTGTAAGTAGATCTAGTGTTAATCTTGTTTTACAGATAAAGAAATATCCACCAGGAGGTTTTCTTTATTTGCCCAAGTCACATAGATAGTGAGGAAGCTAAGTTAGAATTCATATTTCTTAACCTTTTCTCAACTGCCTTTTCTACTATACTATGATGCAATAGAATGTCAGACTCTGTCTCTTACTAGTTCCATCCAACCCTATCTTGTATTGTAGTCAGCCTTAACAAGTTCTTAGGATTAAAAAAATAAAATCTATGCTTATAAAAAATTGAGATTTCTCATTCTGAGAACAGGATTCTTCATTTAAATTACTGTCTTGCAGTGAGTTGGCCAGGAGGAACGCATCTCCTTGTTAATATATATGTACACCCATGCCATAAATGGGAAAAGAGCAATTATAGTGGCAATAGCCAACTGAATTCTTCCACCAACTGGATTCCTGTAAAGACACAAAAATTAGTATAAGTAAAAATTCAATAAAAATTACAGATTGCTTTGGAAACAAGTATAAAGATAGAATTTGGTAAAATACATATTACTCTTTTGTATGATCCCTTTTTAAAAACTGTATTTAAATACAGCCTATTGCTATTATTTATATATTCTTAATGCAAATCCTTATTGTTTGTATGTGCTGCAAATAGCTTTTCCCACTCAGTAATGTCTTTTGAGAACTGAAGTGATGACTAATTAAGCAGTGTTAAAATTGATCTTTTCATAATGATTTTTGTGTCCTGTTTAAGAAAACTTTCCATCCCCAAGGTCTTGAAAATATTATCTTCTCTAAAAGTTTTGTTGTTTTGCTTTCATATTAGATCTGTAATCCACCTGAAATTAATTTTTATGAAAGTTGTAAGGTAAGGGTGGTTCAGCTTTTTTCTGGTACAAATATTCAATTGCTTCAGCACTGTTTATTAAAAAGACTGCCTTTCTTCACTACCCTGCAGTGTCACTGTATCATAAGTCAAGGGTCTCTGTATGGATGGATCTGTTTCTAGATTCTGTTTTGTTTCATTAATTTATCCTTTGCCAGTAATAAGTTTAGCCTATACTGCCATAGGATAATTATTTAGGTCTTCCTTATTTTGATATTTAGGTCTTTAATTTCTCCTATAATATTTTATAGTTTTGTGTATAGATATTTTGCATGTGTCTGCTAGATTTATTCCTAGGGAATTGATTTTTTATGTTATAAATGGTAACTTTTTGTTGTTATTTTGTTACTTGCTGATAAAAGTACATTTGTTTTTTAGTATATTGAGTTAGTATCCAGCAATCATGTTAAACTCGCTTATACAAATAACTTTTTAGATTCTTTTTGATTTTCTATATATATAATTATGTTACCCATGAAACATTGGAAATTTAATTTTTCCTTTTCAGTCTTTGGGCCTTCTATTTCTTTTTCTTTCCTTATTGTACTGGCTAGGACAATAGCTAGAACAATGTTGAGTGGAAGTTTCAATAGTGACTAACCTCATCTCATTCTTAATCTCAGAGGGAAAGTCTCACCGTGTATGCCTATTTTTTAAGAGCTTTTATCGTGAATGGATGTTGAATTTTATCAAATGCTCTTTTTGTGTAGATTGAGGAGATGGTTTGTTTTCTTCTTTTATTAATGTAGAAAGCATTGGTTGCTTTTTGAATATTAAAACTAGCTGTATTCCTAAAATAAACGCAGCTTGGTGATTGGGTTATATATTGCAGAATTTAATTTGCTAATGTTTTGTTTAACATTTTTCCATCTGTGGTCATAAGTGAGATTGCGATGTAATTGCCTTTTTTTGGTATTATTCTTATCGAGTTTTGGTATCAAGAATATTCTGCCCTAATAAAATGAATTGGAAAGTGTTTCTTCCTTTACTGTTGTCTGGAAGAGTTTGTTGAAATTTTACATTATTTCTTAAAGGTTAGGCAGAATTCTCTGTTATGCCATTTGGTCTAGATATTGTTTTTCTTTTAGGAAAAATTTAAATTATGGACTCAGTTTCTGTTAATAGTTATGGGACTGTTCTGAGTAGTTCTTGTGTCAGTTTTGATATATTGTATTTTTCAATGAATTTGTCCATTTTTGTCTACATTTTCAAATTTATTTTCCCTTTTTAGTCTTGCCAAGGCTAATCAATGTTGCAGATCATTTCGGAGAATGTATGTTTGACCTACTTAATCCTCTCTTTTTCACATTGACTTTTCATTTTATTGGTTTCTGCTTTTGTTTATTTTCTTGTTTCTTTGGGTTAAACTGATATTCTTTTTCTAACTTCTTGAATTGGGGAATTCCTAAGTTTTTGGAAGCTTAGCTTCACCCTTTTTTGTTTTTTAGATATATGTATTTAGGCAATAATTTTCTCTCTTAGTATGATTTTTAGCTGCATTCCACAAATTTTAATATTCTCCTTACTGTGTTCAAAATATTTTCGAAAATCCATATGATTTCTTTTACCCAAATATTATTTGGAAGTGTATTTCCTAATTTCCAAACATACAATGATTGTCTAATCATTATTTTTGTTAACTATTTCTAGATTAATTGCACTGTGGTCAAAGAACATTCTCTGACATTTGTTGGGTCTTATTTCATGGCCCAGCATACAGTTTTTTTTGGTAAATACTCAACATGTACTTGAAAAGAGTGTGAATTCTGCCTTTCTTGGTGCTAGTGTTCTATATATGTCCATTAGGTCAAATTTCTATTGTGTAGCTCAAATCGTCTATTATTATGTTGATTTTTGTTGTTGTTTTCTTGTACTGTTAGTGGCCGAAAGAAGTCTCATAAAGCCTCCCAAGATGATTGTAGGTTTTTAACTTCTCTTTTTAGTTCTGTCAATTTTGGTTTTATCTATTTTGAGGCTATGTTATTAGTTATATACAAATTTAGAATTCTTATTATCTGATATAATGGTTTATTATACTTCCTGATTTAATGAATCTTTAGTCATTAAAAAGTGTCTTTCTATGACATCTTAAATCCACTTTTTAATAAGTGAGTGGTACTGAAATAACCAGATAGCCAAAAGGAAAAAAGATCATACTGAATCAATTCTTTGTACCATCACACTAGGATAAATTCTAAATAGATCAAATATTTAAATGTAAAAATGAAACCATACATGTATTAGAAGAAAGCTTTCTTTACAACCTAAGAGGAAAGAGATTTCCAGTGACTCCAAATCCAAAAGCAATAAGGGAAAGGATTGATATTTGGTTACATTAAAAGCCAAACATTTTCATAGCAAAGTAAAAGGACAGTAAGAAACTGCAAAAAAAATTTTTTTCAGCTTATGTCACAAAGGGTTAATAGCTGTAGTATATAAAGAGCTTCTAAAAATAGAGAAGACTAACAACCTTAGAGAGAAGCAGGTTGAAACAGGGATAAAACAATATTTTATATTAAAAAAATGCAAATAGTTCTTAATCATGAAAATATGCTCACTTTTGCTCCTAGTAAGAAAAATGCAAATTAAAACTACCCATTTCTCAACTATCCGATTAGTAAAAATTCAGAATTTTGACAATATACTATACTATGCTGATATTATATTTAATAGCAAAATTAGATACAATCTAAACCCATGAGGACTAGCTATACTATGGACCTATCAGCAGAATGAGGAAAGTCTTTCCATATGACAGAATGACCTCTAGGGTGTAGTAACGGAAAAATCAGAGAAGACAGTTGTGTATAATATGCCTCCACTTATCGAGTAGGAATACAAATAAATGCACATAATTGCTCCATTAAGAAGTCATGGAAGGATAAATGATAAAATTGAAAAAAGTTTCACCTGTAGAAAAAGGGAGAGTATAGGTTTGGGGGAATCAAGAAGCTAAGAATACTTTGAATATACTTTGTCTTGTAAGTTTTATTTTGGGACCATGTAGATATTTTACATAATTATAAAACTATATATATATATATACACACACACACACACACACACACACACACACACACACACACAC